GCGCCCCCCCCCCCCCAGCTAGCCACGTCTCGGAACTTGTTTTACGCTACATCTCTAGTGGTGACAGATGGTGCTGAGTTTCTGCTCACGGTAGTGACACAGCCCCTCTTGAAATGAATCGAGATGAAAACGGTGAGGCACAGGCGTGCACACACTGGAGCCCGCGTGACCGGTGTCTGTGCAGCGCTCCAGGGCGCTCTTCTGCACTAGGGACCAGGCTCACTCGCTCCCATGGGAGGCCCCCAAACCCTGCAGCTTACACAGGCCTTAAACAGGCGAGAGACGCAGTGGTGGGGGCCTCGCCCCCTTTCAGCGCACACGCCCTCCCCTGGGCTGGCCCCTCCTGACAGCGAGCACGTGTGGGAGCTCGAGAAGTAGCCGTGGGTGCCTGGCGACGGAGTGGGCACATGCCGGGCAGACGCGGCCCCGCCCGGGGGCTTCCACACAGACACGCAGAGGGAGCAGAGGGGAGGCCCAGGAGCCAGCGCTCACTCTGGAAGCCTGACCCGTCTGTAGAGAGCGTGGAGCGCCCCGGCCGGGCCGGAGGACACGGGGCTCTAGGAGACTGGGCCACGCGTGTTCCGCCCTCTCCGTTCATTCTTCAGCAGTTCCCTGAGAGCAGTCACCACGCTAGACACCCAGAACCGAGTCACCCCGGGGTCCTCCCACCACCCCACTCCTGTCATCAGTGAAGCCAGCCCCTGAGGCTCCTGGGATTGAATCCTCTCCCCCTGCTTCCCTTAACTGAAGGACAGTCACGTCGCCCCTCACTTCTGTCACCTAAGGAGACTCCGTGAATGAGCTACGCGTTAGAGAGCTGTCCCGGCCAGGGGGGACAGGACCGCGGCAGGGCACAGCGGCCATCTCAGTGCCATTGAGCCGAGCGCTGACCACAGCCGGTGCGGCCGGACACGGAGGTGCTCCACGATGGCCCCAGACACCCCCCACCCACAGCCTTCCTCTGTTGGTGACACGAGGCGTGGCCAGGGCCACAAGGGGACCGGTTGCCACCTGCACGTTTCCCGGCACCCTTGCAGGTCGTTCGGGGCATTTTGTTCTCGTCTAATCAGCGAGAAGTAAGAGGACATCCAGACGTAGCCAGATTACTGGATTATTGATGAAGCCGGCGGCGTACGGGGCGGGGACTCGCGACTCTCAAAACCCCGCAGCCCGGGTGAAAGGAGATGGAGACTCATAAAGGCGACAGCTACGTTAGGGTTGATGTGGCAGGAGCAGTAACGAGGCGAGGGAGGTGACGAGGGCAAGGAGCCACCTTGCACAGCCGTGTGTACAGAGCAGAACTCAGCGCTGTCGCCGGGGCGTCTTTAGGGCTACATAATGGAACCTTCATGGTCTTCATGGCCCAGGGCAAGGGGTTTGCGACTGATTATTATATCACTAAGAGCATCGTAAGGTAGGGACTTTGGGGTTACGGGTTACTTAGCGAAGACTTAGGGGTGTTAATCACTGTTTACTCCAGCCAGAAGGAGAAAGCGAGTTTCCAGCAGAGAGGAGTGAGTGGTGGCCTGCTCCCATCTCACTGGTCCGCGTGACCTTTTTCCACGCATTGAACAGACCCTGGTTCCCTACCTGTGCCCGACAGCCCCAGAGAGAGTGAAGGGATGAGACAGGGTGCTTCCCCGGCTTCCTGGCGTGCAGGCCCCCCCAGGCGAAGCACAGACACAAGTGGGGTGGTCGCTGCTCTTTGGGCTGCCTGGCTGTCGGAGCAGTCCCATGGACACAGTGACAGTGACATGTCGCTCATGCCATTTCCAGCCTCCTGACGAGTGCCACCGCCCACTGGCCCGTCCCCCACGTGTGTCCGAGGCTGTGGGGCAGAGACCCAGTGGCGGCCCCTCCCGGCCACAGCCACGCAGGGTGTGCGGGTGGGCTTCTCCCCAAGGGCACGTGCGAAGGGCTCCGAGCAGACCACGCCCTTCGGCCATTTGAAAAGGTGGCCCTCCTTTCCCTGAAAGACCTTTCCCGTGTGCTCTGTGCCTTCAGGTTTCTCGATAACCCGGAGCCCCTCGTGGGACTGTGTGGTCGCTGGATCAGACCCTCAGGTTCGTCCTCAAGGGAGAGGGAGTAGGCAGGGTTCCCGGGTGGCCTTGCTCCATCCTGGACTGGCCTCTCTTTACACCTCTTAGTGTATGTTCTGTGAGTTTTCCAAATTATACATGTAACATGTGGCCGTGACAGAAAAAGAGAAATCTTCAAAATAATTCCTAAGTGTCTCTGAACAGTAATAATGTACACAGAACCCCACATATGTCATTGTTCGTCTTGGTCTCCAGCTTGCTTTTCTTTCTCATCTAAGAAGAGTACTGGGGGGACTAGCAGGTGGCGTGGTGGTTAAGGTGCTGGACACTCCCACCTGGCCAACCACGGTTCCAGTCCCAGACCTGGTGGCTTGCTTTCTCACTTTCTCTCTTGCTCTCTCTCTGTATCTCTCTCTTTCTCTCTGGTCTAATTAAAATAAATGAATAAATAAAATTAAATAATTATTTTTTAAAAATAAGAAGAATATTGATTTCAAAAAGTTTATTGATAATAATAAT